TTCAAATTTCCTTCTAAATTCCTCTATTCCAACATCTACTTCAATGGCTCCTTCATGTCCTTGCGTTCCTGTAAGTATTTATCTGATGCCAGTTGTGAGATTTTCTTCCCCATTCCGCCTCTTTCTTCTTGAGTTATCAAAAGCTGATGATTCTCAAAATCTGCCCTGTTTCTGTCAATTCTGCTCTACTCAGTCTAGTATTAGTCAGTGCATGTCCACTTGAATATCATCATATTATCTTGTTATTTCTCCATGATGAAAGGCTTTAAACTTTCTGGTCTTTTTCTTTTTAGTTTTTGCTGTGAACTCAACCCTTCTTTCAAGTGTCCTTTGAGAGTTCTCTGTCATTGTCTCCCCATATCCAGCCTGGCTTACTATGTGCCCCTGCACAGCTTAAATGTCTATCTTTTGCTGCTGTTCAAGCCTCGGTCCGTGATCTATTTCTTTCTTTTACTATAAAAGCTGTCTTTTCTTCCGGTCTCCCTCCCTCATCCTAGCTCTTTTCACAGCATTCTTTCTCTTCCAAAGCTCTAATTGCCTCCTGTAGCTCTTTGAAGCCTCCATGGTTATCTTGTCTAATAAAATGTCCTAGTCAAGGGCTTTGTTCTCATCTAGAAGCCACTGCCTTATCTGACATCTACTGAAGTATTTTTCCTGCCTTTTCACTCTTTTTTGCTCCATCTAAAGGTATTGCTTCAAGCAAAATATGCTTGCTGTATCTTCCTGTCCAGATGCTCATCCCCTGATGCCCTCCAGTGCTTTGTCTCTTATTGCCTCTGTGTTTCTCTCTTACAGATTGTGTTAGTGTTAAGTAGTCATCCTTTTGTCACCTTTCTCCTCTTCCTCCTTTAAAAATCCCTTTTCCATCTTTACCATTTCTTTTGTCCTGTAGACTATCTTTTCTATTATCTTCTTTACAGACCTGTGGACCTCTTGGGCTGGGCTTTCTTTAGCACATAATGTTATTTTTTATTTGTTCTTAAATTACTTTCACTCATCTGCATGCAGGGTTCTGTGTAACAATAACTCTGCCTCAGCAAATTCCACTCCTGTCAGTCTGGGTGGCAGAGGGCTCTGCATCGCCATCTGCTATAATGTCTGTGTATGCAGGGCTGAAAAAATAGATGTGGTGTTTCACTCCAGAGGAGGTTGCAGTCTGCTGGCAACTGTAAGGCTTGTGTACAGTGAGGTCATGAGGTGGTCTAGATCTTTCAGGATGAACCTGCTACAGAACAAACCAAAAAAAGCTCTAGCATAAACAGAAGCCTCAGAAGTTGGTATGATGCCTGATAATTGTGTGGGCAGGGCATAGGGAACATTCAGATTGTCACTGCTGATAAATAGCACTTGGATTATTTCAGGTAATAAATCTCCTGGGACCAGACCATGGGAGAAGTGTGAGTCTTCAGTCATCCTTACCCCCCTCCCCACCAGCCTCTCAGAGCTTTCACTATCAAGGCATTAGGATGGGAAGGCTAGGAATTGTATTTCTGCATCCTGAAAAGCATTCAGGAGAAATAAATAAGTGCAGAGAAAGGGAGACCTGAGAGAAAACTGAGACGAGGAGGGAGAAAAATAGAAGCCTGATTGGACAAGAGATCCATCTTGGCTGACAGTTCTTCCAGCTTCTATTCTTTTCTTTGTTGTCATTGAATACCCTGACTTGGACTGTAGCTGTATTTTCATCTATCACAAACATGGTTTCTTGAAAAACACTTTGGAGTCCCACTAGGCTTGTAATGTGCAAAGAAAAATAAAAAAGGTGTATGAGCAGGTCATGTAACTTTCCTCTTGCATGCCATGAAGAGATCTAGAAACTTTTGTGAGCCTTTTCAAGAGGCTTAGGTGCACCTGAGGGGGTCAAGCCATGTGTATGGGCCATCTGTGTTTGTGGCTAGTGCAAGATGGTTATGACACCTTCCTCTTATTTTTCATCTTCCTCCAGCTCTGTGCTAATCTCCTGAGTCTGCTGGTAAGCTCTGAAGCAACAGCAATACTCTACTGTGAGTCCTGGTGGAAGTGCAGAGCGAGGACTGGGAAACAGAAAGCAAGACAGAGAGACAATAAAGAAAATATAGAAAGAAGAGTTGTGGCAGGAGATTACAGGAAGAGTGATAGGGGAGAGTTGACATCAGTTGCTGGGCAGCAGCAGTGCAGAAAGGCAGATTTTTTTCAGAGTGTTTTCTGTATTCTTTGTTTATGTTTACATCTGCAGATCTGAAAACGTGGAAAAGATGATGAGTAAAGCCAGAACTATACTTTTCTTTAGGTCAGCTGTGCGAGCTGGAAAAAGTGGACAAGCTGATGGGTCTACAAGTTCTTGTGAGAGTGAAATAGAAGCAAATTGAAATCTCAGAGCAAATACAAGTTGATAGTAGCTGCTTTGAATTTAACTAAGGTAGTGTCAGTGAGGCTGGAGACTGTGACAGAGATTATTGGTACCTTGTGAAATAGCAAGAATTGTTAATAATTTCCAGAGAGCTGACAAAGCACTCTCACCTGCAAGGAGAAATAGGTTTATTTTTAAGCTCAGTAGCATGGTAAGATTAGTGTTCAGGACACAGGAAATATTGCGAATTATTGGAAATAATTCCAGTATCACTACAGATTGCATATATTTTGTCATGCACTGAAATGATGAATTTCAATTCTCAGTTGTTTCCTTGTTAGACAATATCTGGGTACAGAGACTAGAGGCAGAGATGCTGTTTGATGAGAAGTGGGAATTAGTTGAGTATGAGGTTCTTAGCTAGAGGTGAGGTGGGTCTTCCCTAGTACATAGGTGCCACCATGCACACAGTGATTATTTAGGATCAGCTGTGTAGTAGATCAGCACTGCCATGCACTGGCTGAGGTGTGTTACACTGTGGGAAGCACGAGTGAGGGCTCAGGAGGTTTGTAGGGTGTCTTCCTTGTGAGGGTAGTAAAGGTTTCTTCTTCAAGTAGCATCTGGAGTCACTTTGTTGGCCTTGGGGTCCTTCATGCTTTTATTGATGAGTTGAGTGAGGCCAGGGCCAGTTTGGAAGCTGAGAGGGACAGTTCTTGGAAAAAGACTTTCAGGGTAGAATCGTCCTGTTTTGGGCTATTATTATATCATTGTTTCCCATGGAAATTCCACAACAGTAAAATGCAAGAATGCAGTAGAATTTGATTAGCTGACAGCAGAGGGTTAATTTTTATACTGCAGCAATTTCTAATGTGCCATTCTTGTGCCTCTTGAAAAACAAGAGCTAGAAGAGTGCACTTTTGGGTAAAGGTTCTCATTAGTTTTCTGCAGTGGCTCTGATGAGTGTTCTCCAGCACATATAATAGTGGCTGAAGATCTGGTGCTGTATTACAGCTTTGATGTTTGCTGGGCTCTACTGTGTTCAGTTTTTAGTCTTCCTATACATGATGTACCTTATATTTTAGACAGTTTTTTATATTTTATACACTATACAGTATGTGCTATGCATCATTTCTTATATAAGCCATAATGACAATGGCCTTCCAAAAGCATCTCAATAGGTTGGGAGCAATTAATGCTCTTTTGATGGTAACCTGTGAGGGTAACCAAATGTTTTTCTCTGATTTCCTAGACACAGTCACTTAGAAACTCTTCTTTAAGGTGATTCATTTCAAGTTTTGTCCTGCCTGTGGGACACAGTCTTCCTTCAGAAAATAGTGCTTGTTGACAGTAAAGTGAGGGCTGCTGAGAATGAAACAGGAGAGCCTGTAAATTTAGGAGCAGCACTAATATTGCTTTTGTAAATATTCAGTGCTTGCCTGGCCTGATACCAGTTGTAGGTTGTACACACTAACCTTATCCATGTGGCTATTGCTGCTAATGGATATCCATATCTTAGCAGGAACATGGAGAAGGTGGTTTGTGCAAGAAATTAAGTGTGTCTTCCTCATGGAGACTTTCTTTGTACCTTACTCTCAACGACCATGCAGAATTTTAAAAAAAAAGCAAAAGAAGAAATGTTTTGCAGGAGTCTGCAAAATGAAATAATGAAACTACTGTTCTGGGCCCAAAAAAGGGTCTTTTGCCCTTCTCTCTACCCCATCCTGTCTGCAAATCTCTTACTCAGTATGAGTAGCTTGGCATGTGAGGTCTTTTTTTCTTGTATACAGTTTCTGGGACCTTGAACTCTCTGCTCCTCCCTAATTAATGGCCCTCAGAAGAAATATGGTTCCAGGCAGCACACTGACAGTACTGGGAGATGTCTCTAGGCCAAGTTGCTGTAACATGCTTCTCATTCCTGTTGCTGGCTGGTAGCTCACTGGTGTTGGCTGAGCTTGTTGCTTCTCTCCCTGGCTGAGAAACAAGTGGCAGAGTGGAGAGGAGAAGCTGTTGAATGCTCTAGTCTGTGGAAAAGTGAGCATCAAGAAGAATTAAATTTCTGCATACACCTATATTGGAGTACACACAGAGCAGTTTGGTGACATGCTTTGAAGTGCAAAGTATTCCCCATAAGAACACCTGGGAAAGCTGAGATTAGACTGTAATGTTCAGCAGTTTACAGGGATGCCTGACTTTTCCATTAGGGCTTGCTGCTGTGAACCGTGTTAGAAAAATTGTCTTGGGACACTGAGTGAACACCCATCTTGTTCCATCTCACCATAGCTGCTGGCTTCTTTGTGATTGTTACTCAGTCTTTAGGGCAGCTGGTATCTGTGGAGAAAATAAGGAAGGCCACTGACCTTTGTTCCCATTGCAAACAGAGAGTGTGTGGGATGGGGAGCCGTGAAAGAAGAGATATCCTGGATAACAATTTCTGCTTCCTCCTGTCTGCTTTCTGTCTCTGTGCTTGTAGCTCTGTCTGTCACACCACCTCCTTCCCCTTGCCCCCTCCCTCTCCTTCAGGAGTTCCCCTCTTGCTCACACCTGATATTCAATCCCAGCAGAGTTCTTGCCTTTTGCTGAGATCAGACACGGCACTGGGGAATCATGTGGCAGAGGAAGGTTGCTATAAATATAGTTGAACCCTTTGGGCAGGAAGGGAAGAAAGGTAGAGAGGCACAAGGAGGAGGAGGAGGAGGGGCAGAGAGAAAGAGAGTGCAGGAACGGGACAAGTTGGAGTGGTCTGAGGAGAGAGAGAAAGGAAGGATCAGCAGAGAATGCGGAGGCCATGCTCTCTGCCAGAACACGAGGTGCTTCGAGGTAAGGCCCAGAGCAGCAACTCAGTCAGAGATGAGCGTGAGGAGCAGTGGAGGAATGGAGAGCTCAGAGAGCAAGACGCAGGAGGCCATCTGGAAGCCAGCTTTGTGGGAGGGCACACCGCAGTACGACTATGTCTGCTTTGAGAAATGCACCCGTTACGGGATACCCGTGGAGGCAGGACAGCAGGCCCGGGCCACAGGGGACGACCTGCGCTCCCCGGAGAACTCGCCCAGCTACCCACAGGTAGGGCTGGACAACGGCATGTTTGTGGCAGCACAGGTCCCCCTGGGATCACACGGGCTCTGGGGCTCTCAGAACACACATCCCTGTCCATCCCCAGTCCCACCAGCTCTCCCCTTCGCTTGCTGCCTCCAGGTCAGGCTTTGGCATTCACGGCTGTACTTGCACCAAGGATCCTTGCAGTAATTCAAGTCAGAGGTTATTGTCACCTGCCACGGATGCAACGAGACTTGGAATGGGCAAGCTGGGATGGGGAAAATTAACCAGAGCATTAATGTGTGTGTAACAGCAAAGAGAAGCTGCAGCTGCCTTCAGTTGTGTAGTGATACTGAGTAAAGCACAGGAGTGAGTAAAACCAAAGAGAGCAGTGATGTATGTATATGGGAATCTGTACAGCTGTGTAGATGAAGTAAAGCTCTCTGGTGACTTTTCTTTGACCATAAAGCCCTTAATGGTCATAGATCCATACATGTATATTGGTATTTTTGATAACTCTTAGTGTAACTGTAAGCGAGCCATTTTCTAACCCTTAAGCTTGACCTGGCTGTTGCTCTGGATTGTACAAGCGCTGGTTCAGAATAATGTCTGGGACATAGAAGTACTCTGGTTATGGCTTTTTGTTCATTATGTTCTGTACCTCGCTTCCCTCTTCTTTTGGGACAGCCTCCTAAAAAGGGGAGGGTTTACAGCAGAGTCCTGGTGTCTTATTTCCTACCACTCTGTTCTGATTAAGCTGATCTAAGACAGTTTGGTGCAATGAAGGATTGAGTCAAATTTTGAGGAAGAGAGGGTTTGAATGTGAAATTCATAAAGTGGATGTTTCTCCTTAAATGAATACAAATCCTCTTACATGGATGGCGAATGATTGGGGAATGAAGGAGATTGCATTAATTGTCTCCTAAACACTTACGTGATTTACTGATAGGAAAACAGCCACATTTGCCACCAAGAAAATATCTTCCAGTAGATAAGCATCCAAGTGAGGATAGTTATGTGTCACACTGCCAAAGATCAGAGAATCAGCTCCATGGCCATATTCAGGAATTTCTCTTCTGAAACTGCCTACAACATCTGAGAGTTTGCATGTCTCCTTCACTAAAGTCTTCCAAAACCACCCCACTGGCTTATTTGAAGCAGCAGCCCAGATGAACAGAGGTCTGACTGGAGCAGTTTAGCCTTCATTTACACCAACACAAAGCAGTGCCTTGGCTGCAGCAGCCACGCTAAGAGGGTGAACACAGGGGGTGGGATGAGGTGAAGAGGTGTGTGTGCCCACCTGAGGCTGAGCTCCACTGGGGTCACACCTGCCCCATGGGGTGCAAATGGGGCTGGAGAGCTGAAGTGGGTGAAGGAAACGCACCTTTGTGTGTGTGCCATGAACCAGGAGTGAGCTGGGGTGTGGGGAGCTGCCAGATGCAAACCCTTTCTCCAGCACAGCACATCAGTGCGCAGAAACATCCCAGCTCAACCAGATCCAGCAGATATGCCAGTCCCACACACCTAAAACCACTCTCCAGTAGGCACAGATGACACAGTGAGGTAAGACCACCAGCTCTGTGCTCTTGCTCCCTGACACCAGAGTGTCTCTGTGCTCAGTTCCAGAGGCATGCTGGTCAGTGCACGCAGATAGATGATCTCACATACAAACAAGAAGGCCATCAAACCCATTCCCATGCATATCTTCAGGCAGAAATATCCCCAAGCAAGCATGCATTTGTGAGGGCAATTTGCAACCTAAAAACCAGACAGTTGTATTTATAGTTTACCGAAAATATGTCCTAGAGACATTTTATATAAGCAGTCGTGTACACGTGTGCATGTACATTTATCATGGAACTTTGCATGCAAGCATATACTGGCTAAGCCAAGTTTGCTGTGGATGTGTATATTTCACTGGTCATTCATGCACATGCAAATAAATTATAAACATGCACAGGTACTTTGTACAAACATGCACACTTATTATCATGTAATTAGCATGAAAAACAACCCCTTGCACATGTTTTCATACATTTCCACACAGAGTAATCATTAAGATTTCTTTTCCCACTGTCAGCTGAAAAAACATTTTACAGAGATTTTAATTTTGTTGAGCTCTTTTTTTCTGCTAGATGCTGCCTTCTGTTGTACATGTGATTTGGATTGGTTTACACATGCCCCAGAACAGTGAAATCTTGGTCCTTGGCCTTGGACCTTCAGATAATTAATAGTCAAAAAACACATAGTGGTTAGTAGATAATAACTTAATAGTAGTAGGTTAATAATAATAATAATAATAATGTATTTTTGACAATTAATATAACAGATAGTAGATATATAACAGATGATGTAATATGCCTTGATAAAAATATACATTATCCTACACGGTAGGATTTTGTATTGTTTTATTTCTGCATGAAAAAGCAGTTGCAGCTGGTGAAGTATTTAAAAGCTGTGCTATTTGTGACTATAGAAAGGGTGTTCCTGGCAGGGAGCTCACTCAGCAATACACAGATGGGGGTAGTGGGAGGGATGTGCAGTAAGGAATCAGGCATTGCAGTAATAGAGAATAACAGGCTCACAGAGAGAGGGAGGTGGGAGGGCCTCTGGAGCCCTCCAGCCCAAGCCCCTGCTCACAGCAGGGCTGAGTCCAAAGGTAGGTCCCATTGTCCAGAGCCTTTTCCAGGCATCTGAACATCTGCAACACTGAAGATTCCCCAGCCCCACTGGGCACCTGCTCCTGTGCTGAACCACCCTCAAGTGGGGCTGGATGGGGACACGTGTTCCTTCGCAGGGGCTTTCCTTTCTTGCAAGCTGTGCTTTTCCCTTTGCCCATCTCTGTGCCCCTCTGGGATATCTTGCTCTGATATTTCCCTCCAGCCCCTCTCTCCCTTTAGATAGTGGCATTGCTGTTAGATTTCCCCTTTGCCACCTTTTCTTCAGGAACAGCTGTGATTTTGTTGCTGTCCCCTGTCCCTTTCATGTGCCTCATTGACTTTGTCTCTAAGCAGTTGACTGAGTTGTTTTACATTTAAATTTATATATGTGGTGCATTTGGGGAGGTTTCACCTTTGAGGTCAGACATGGCTTCTCCTTGCTGATGCATCAGGAAAAAAAAATCACCTAAGGAAGATAATTTTAGGAATAGCAGGATGGCTAAAGGAGGCAGGAGTGAGAGGGAAAGGAAGTACAGGCTAAGGCTGCCTCAGTGGCTGGGAGCAGCAGATCATAAACAGGATGCACTGGCAGAGTTGGGGAAAGGGATTTCAGGACTGGAGTATTCTGTGGGGAATGCATTGTTCAGTCTGGATGGCATGGGAAATAGCTTGGGCTTTGGACTGTGGGAGGAGGGCAGTTTCATACAGGTGCTGACCCCTCAGAAAATAGCTGCCAGAAAAGTCTTGAGATTGTGATGTATTTTTTTTCCCTTGAGATTCTGTGCAGCTTTTCCTCTGTTACTCAAACAATGAAATTTCCCCAATTTTCAGAAAGACAAAAGATCTTTTGCATAGATAAATGCTTCATCTCCAAAAATAAACTTTGCCTTGTTGTGCTTTCTCCCTAGATGGTTTGGTTGTGATTTGTTTATTGGGGTTGTTTTGGTTTGGTTGGTTTGTTTGTTTTTGTTTGTTTGGGTTTTTTTTGGTGGGGGATGTATGTTCCTCCCATCTATCCTGAGTGGCATTTACACCTTCAGCTCTTTTTACACCATTTTCGTGGTCTCCCTCAGCATTTAGCCCAGTAGGCATGATAGTACCTTTTCTGGTTCAGCCCTTAGGTGGTAACTGAGAACTTATAAAATTGTCTTCATTTTTTCTGGTGCTCAGAAACCCTGTGTTCCTTGTGTTAGAGAGGGAGCAACAGAAAAAGGAACAGTCAGAGTCATACTGTGTTATATTTTTAGTTTTACATCTTCTAGTGGAGTGGATATTTCTTGCCTAACCCAATTTTGCTGTAAGGTCATCCTCTGATTTCTGGATTCTTTCTCTGTCCCACAATCTCCTACCATTTTAGATACTTCCAGAATCCTGGAGAAGCAAAGCACATGTGTGAAGCATTCTTTAAATGTGTTGAGACTACCTGGTTTGCCAGGACAGCAACTTCTTTTTATGTCTGTGGACTAACTCCTTTTTTTCCCATATCCCAAATGCACCATTTGACAGCCAGGCAGAAGCAGTGAACTCATATACCATATGAGGACCTTCAGCATTCATACTATTTTACTGTCATGCTGTTCCATCTGGCAGATGGAAGATTCTAATTTGAATCTCATACTTGACATGGGTTTAAGTTGTATTTGACATAAACCCATCTCTCATGACCGTTTAACAGCGCTGAAACACTGGCTGAGGTGATGTGAAGATGCATTTGTCTAAAATCTGCTAGTATTTGGCATTTCTGTCTGAAAAACACCGTTAAAAAAAAAAAAGAGCAGTTTGCTAGGTAGGATTGCATTCTGTATGTGGCAGTTACCCTGTAGATGAAATACTTCAGCCTGATGTTTCACTGTCCTGTCTAAGGGGGTCAAAGCATGGCCATTATGTCTGCAAAGACTCTGCTTAATTTACTTAGAATGTGTTGGTAATCATGTGGTTAATAATTGCATTAAATTTGTGTAGCTTCAAATACAGTGATGAATGAAAGAATACTTTCAGCTGTTCAGACAGGATCAATCTGTTTAAGAGGCAGCAGGTGAGCCATCTCTAGAACAGGATGATTTTAAAAAGCATAGATAGGGGTTCTGTGAAGAAAAAAAAAAATCCATTAGGATTTCCAAAGGGAGCTGTGGCACATGGTTCAAATGTCTCTTGAGGAATTTGTGCAAATAAATAAAATACTTAGGGCCTTCAGTCATATTTGTTATGTATGTTGAAACACGAATTGGTAGAGCACTGAAGCAGGTGCTCAGAGAAGCTGGGTAATTTCTACTCCTGTAGATGTTTAGGAGTTTCCTGGATAAGGTCTTGAGCAGCCCAGTCTGGTTTACCTGGCTTTGGAGTTTGTAGGCTGTGGGCAGAGGTTTGGACTAGAAACCTCCAGAGGTGCCTTCCAGTGTAAATCTTTCTGTAAGTCTCTGTATCTATTTCATCTCAAGGGAACAGGAACATCTCTTTTGTTACCTTGAAAAGGGCAGGCAGGAACTGTCAAATAGAAATGTCTCCTAAGTGTGTGGTAGTGCTTTATCTCTGTCATATGTCCTGTCATTCTCCAGCTAAGTGTCTGATTTTGCTGATCAGAACATGGTTCATTCTCCTGCTGCCACTCAGAAAATCTCAGAGAAGCAGATGTTGTGCTGGGGAGGGAGCACAGGGTCACCTTGTCACAGGTGAGAAGTGCACCAGGTGGTAACCTGGTCCGAAGTAAAGCCAAACCTGGTTCACTGAAGGACATGCAAGGAGAAGAGGCTTATTCTCTGCTTCTCAAATGCACACCTTCCCCAGCTATACTCTGAAACAGTGAGGTGGGATAGCTGCTCTTCAGGGGATGTGGTAAACAAACATGGGCACAGCCAGGGTTCTTCAAGCTCCCTTAAGATGTTGACGAGACAGCACAACTGCCCCGTTTACTGCAGACCCGTGTAAGAAATGTCCTTGGTAAGCACGTGCAGCTGATTGTGAACTGCATAAAACCCTCTGCTTTTCAAGTTTAGTATCTGAAGAAACAGACTGGCTTATGCAATTAGGAATTTCAGAGGAACTGATGATACAGGAGGACATAAAATGCTGATTTGGGTAAATAATGGTTGGAGGTGTGCAGCAGCCTGTGATATTTTTGAGATGATGCTGCTTCTTTTCCTCCACGAGCACCACCAGTGGCTGTGTGCCCTGTTAAGCATTCCTTGGCAGCAGGAGGAACAGATGCAGGACATTCCTGCAGCCTGTTTGAGAGTGTAATGCCTCTCAAAACCTTCAGAGATGTTTTACAGTGCTGCTGAAATCTATGAGACAGCCCTGAGGATGGCGGCCTCATGTGAACTACTTTGACCTTCTTTTGTACCTCCAGAAAGCTGTCTCTTAATGCTCAAATGCTGTCTCTTAATGTTCAGTCTCTCAGCCGTTTTTTTCCCCCAGGACATTAGAAAATAATGAATATTCTGTGATCATATCTTGTACTCTCAAAAAGGGAGTGAAAATGTTTTGGAGAGATTGGAAAGAAGAAACTAGAAAGAAAAAGAATTAAAAATAAATGAGCTGCATCTGTCTGACAGTTTCTGTGTCTCAGTCTCCCTGCTTGGTACACTTGGGAATGTACCTCAGACTGTTGGTAGATCTGCCTTGTCATCCTTAATGCTATTTGTGAAGGAGCATTTGCCTTCCCTTTTCATTGCAATTACTCTTGTTTTCTGCTCCTCCAGCTGTATGGCCGATACACAGACCGGATAACAGATAACATTTCAGACCAGGAAGCAGCAAAACTGCTGAAGAAACAGGCCCAAAGGAACAATGGAAGACCCCTGAAACGTGACAGTCAAGTACAGATCAAAGAAGAGCACTATTCCAAATGCCAAGGTAGGGACAATTCATGTTTCGTTCCCTATTACCAGATATTGGGTAGGCCAGCAAGAGATATGGGATTTAAGCAATTGTGCCTGGGGAGAAGCAAAGAGGAAAGGAAAAGGAATCAAATCTCATTGGGTTGAAAACCCTTTTCTATATGAGCTTTCTTCCTAGAAAAGATATATTTGGAATAAAAACAAAAAAGAAAAGCAATCCCAAGTAAATAATTTTTTCCACAACAGAGCTCTGTAATGGGAGGAAAAGGACTTTAGGGGTATCAGACTTTTGTTGCTAGTGTAGAAGATGTTAAATTCCACCTTGTGTGTCCTGTACACACCCCTCCCCCCCACTTTTTTAGTGTTTTTTTTCACTACATGTTTCAGAACTGTGTAAGAGAGGGATGGGTAGCAGTCCTTCAACATGAAGCCCACGCTGCCTCCAAATAAATCCTTGTTTTAGTCAGTTCTCAGCACAGGAGAGACAGACACAGCTTCATGTATGTTCACTCCGTTTTTCTGGTTCACTCTTCCCTCCGCAGACTGTGCTAAACGCATCCAGAAATATGTTACCAAGAAGCTTGGAGAGGACTGGATTTTCTTGGTTCTGTTGGGTCTGGTCATGGCGTTGGTGAGCTGGGGAGTGGATTATGCCAGTGCAAAGACCGTACAGGGTGGGTCCCATTCAGGTGTTGCAAAAGCAGCCAGTAAATGATAGGAATGTGTTACAAATCCCAGTGACCCATGTTGCTCCTCCTTTAACATCATTGTCCCATCCTCAACCCTCGCTGCTTGGGAAGTTTGAAGTTCTGGCAACGTACAAAAGGTTGGCTAGGGAGAGGTTCTTTAAAGGGATGGCAGGGGAAATTTTGGAAGTAAGTGGCAGAAACAAGGAATATGTGTATGATGAGTCAAAGACAAACAATAATTTTGAATCCTTTTTCTTTCTGCTCCCTTGAATATGCAGGAGCACAGGGAAGTGTTACTGCATCCTCTGCTGTTATACTGCTTCCCTTTCTCCCCAAGAATATTAAGAACACGGGTGACTGGGGGGAAAGGGGATTTTAGATGCCCTCTTGGCACTGTTTCTGCTTTTTACCTCGATTTTGTTCTTTCCAGCTTTTACTTATACAGTGCCCTGATTTTTTTTTTTTTTTTTTTTTTTTGGCCATCTGGGCATATAGTGCCCTCTCCTTTTGCCCTTTTCACAAAGATCTCCTATTCCCTGTCTTATATCCCTTCCCTGAAGGTGGGAGTTGTCTGTGAAAGAGGAATCTATAAATGTTTTCTTATTTTCACCACCTCTCCTGTTCTCAAAGTTCTGCTCTTTCCAGCAACGCCTGTCTTTCACTGGCCATTTTCCTTCCCCTTTCAAAGACATAATATAGGAAACATCAAAGAACTCAAGTCAGGTAGTCTTTGAGAGGGAAAAAATTAAATGGAAATAGGAGAACCTAGGAAGATTGGAGGATCTAAAGCACAAATCTTATGAGGGGTGGCTGAGGGAAATGAGGTTGTTTAATCTGGAGGAAAGGAGCCTAAGGAGAGACCTCCTTAATCTCTATAACTCCCTGACAGGAGGTTGTAGCCAGGTAGTAGAACCAGTCAGTTCTCCCAGGTAACCAGTGACAAGATAAGAGGAAATGACTTCAAGTTGCACCAGGCAAGGTTTAGATTGGATATCAGGAAAAATGTCTTCAATGAGATGGTGGTCAGGCATTGAAAAGGCAAGTGGTGGAATCAATATCCCTGGAAGGGTTCAGAAGGTGTGTGGCTGTGGCACTTGGGGACATGATTTAGTGGTGAACACAGTGATGCTGCATTAAAAGTTTGATTCAATGATCTCAGAAGTCATTTCCAACCTTAATGGTTCTATTACTGGCTGAGATGTCAGAGAAGTTGTGAGGCCTGCAGTAGATAAAAGGTTGTCAGTAACCAGAGAGCAACCTTCTCTGATTTTCTCCTCCTCTTCTCTTGCAGGGTCCTTTTGTGCATATTGCCAGTATCTGTGCTGTGGTACTCAGCAAGTTCATGTCGATCTTCTGTGGGGTGTATGAGGTAAGGAACATATCTCTGCACACAGTTCTTCCACAGGCTGAGCTCCTGAGACACCCAGGCTAGTATGGGTAGGCCATGGAACACAGAGGAAGTTTAACACATAGATTGATGTTTATTGTACTGCTGTAGAGCAGTAAAACACGGGCTGAGCAAAAGTAGTGCAAGGACAGGCATACAGTCCAAATAACTGTGCAGGACCACCAATGTTACCCAGAAATTACAGAGACTGGTTAGGAGTGTTTGACACTAGATTTCAGTCTCGTGATTGATGCCTTTGCACTGTGATCATTGACTGTATAAAAAAGTAGCTGCAGACAAAGATCAATTTGTCTTTAAGCCAAATTTATACAGCATTGCTAATTATAGACACTGACACTGTCTCTGTGCTTTTGCTATCGCTGAACAGCCTCTGCAGGCTGATCACCATATTGACTGGTTGTAAAAAAAAATCTATTAACTGCACATACAGATAAATGTAGGACCTCCTTTATGTGCAGGCTCTTAGCAGAAAGTGACTATGTGATACAGCTGGAGGCGCTGTTCTCCTTGAGTAGATCCTGTCTATGCACAAGGAGCAGATGTCACTGCTGGAGACCAGCTGACAGTACTAAAGACCGCACTGAAGTGTGTAGAGCCTGCTATTTGTAATAGCAATGGCTGACTGTGCTGCTGGCTGTTGCTTTTTTTCATTGTTCTGGGTCCTAACCCCGTGGCTTTGCTCCCTCTAACCCCAGCATGCCCATCTCTGGCTGCACTCCCTGTTCCAGGATGTGCATAGGCAGCTCGACCTCCTGGTGCCGGCTTGCGCAGTTGGAGTTGGATGTTGCTTCAAGGCTCCTCTTGGAGGCAAGTGTCTTCCTGTATGTGACATTTAATGTACAGTTCCTTTGACCTCTTGCTGTGAGACTTCCTGCTCTCATGAAAGGTTCTCCACAGATACCTCTCCACTTCAGCAACACGAGTTCTTTCTGTTCACGTGTAACTGGTGGCAGTGAAAGGAAGGGAAGGTTACAGGAAAAGTGACACCTATTTAAGTGCTGATTTCTAATGATGCAGCTTGTTCAGTCTCTGCCTGCCATGAACACTGTTCCACCTGAATAGTACCAAGGGCTATCCAGAAAGTCAATAAAGATCAAGTAGAGAACAGAAGTGAAAAAACCCCAAAAGCTTGCGAGAGGCAATGGGCAAATTGCAGTGAGGGAAATTTTGACTCAGTTAAAGGAAATTATGCTCTTCTCTCCCAGAGGTGGTCCAGCACTGGCATAGGTGTTCAGAGTGTCCAGGGAAATTCCACTCTAGGAAATGTGCGAGACTCACCTGCACAAGAACCAGGCTTAGCCTTGGAATTAACAGAACTAACAGCTCTCTGAGCAGGGAGACAATTCCAGTGGTCCCTTCTCAACTTTCCATAATCCCACTTGGAGGAGAAATTTGGAAATTTATGTCTCCCCCATGCACTTGTATTAGTCTTCAGATTCACTGAATTTCTTTAAACAGAGGCACATGATACAGAGGCTTCTTCCTAAAGCAGTGGGAATATTAATAAATAATTTGTCTTTCATTTCACTTCCCCCTCTTCCCATGTGCTGCAATGAACCTCTTTGCATGGTTATTCTGGCCAGAAGTCTACAGAGTTTTTAAATGCTGTGGGCTTTTTTCTAAGATGGCTTTAGTTCTTCCATGCACTACTTTCCTGTTAGTCTTCAAATGGATGACTTAGCTGACAAATGCAACATGGTCTTGCATCAGCAGTAATACTGATCTTTACTCTGGCTGGCTGCTAAAAAAAAATAAATCAAGGAAGGAACATAGTTTGTCAGCTACAGATTAGGGGTTCTCCAGTTGATAACTTGAGAAAAGATGCCAGAATGAAAATCAGGCTAAGCAAGAGAGAGGCTGAGAACTGCATATGTGGGCAGTCCAGCAAGATGTAGACAGCCTGAGCTGAAGCCTGAGGCTTCAAGGCAAAATTTGTCAGTCTGCCAAAAGCCTTAAGAGAAAGCAGTTTCAGAACCAAGGATCAGAACACAGTCAGGTGGAACCACTGGAAGTATACAGGAGAATGGTATCTGTCTTAATGGTAAAAAAAAATAAAGCAAAAAAAACCCCAAACCTAAAAAAATCCCTGTAGAAGTCTATGCTTCTTGTTTCTTTCTTTGTACCTGGAATTAACATAATCTCAGAGACTCCAGAATGCACCACACCTAGATGACTGGGAGATGCTAGAGAAGAAAACAGAAGGTTAAACAGGGACTGATCTAACTCCTGCCTTTGGTAGATAAAGGAGGTGTCAGACAAAATAGCCAAGATCTTCTCAGAGGACTTTCACCAAAGGACAAAGAGGCAGCAGGCACAACTTGCAACAAGGGAAATTTTATCTACGCATGAAAATAATTTCTCCCCTTGTCCCAAAGATGGCTCAGGATGGCACAGGCGTCAAGAGATGCTGGGGAATCACTACCCTTGAAGGTGTTCAGGGCTGCCCTAGCAGCCTGATCCTGAGCACCCTGATCCCATTACCTTTGATCTAACCTTGCAGTTAGCCCAGTTCTGAACAGAGAGATAGAGAACTAAAACTTGCTGTGTGAGTTCAGAATTAAAACTTGCTGTAAGTCTGGGATAACATTGCAGTATGGGAACAAACAAAAAGTTATCAGAGTTTCTGTAGCCCTAGTTCCTCTTTTGGATTTACACCAAATTGTCAAATGTGATTTCCATTACCTGGGAGTCATATAATCTTCAGCTGACCTTGGTCCAGGATATAGCTTGCAGTTTCCCATCAAAATGCCCAGGTGTGTAACTTCTTGATGTTGTTGCAGGTAAATACCACCTTGTGTATTGAGGATGGATTTGAAAAGCCAGTTTAGCCCTTGACAAGCAAATGGTACCCAGTCTCTTAGAAAGACTCTTCCTTTTATACCTTCCAATTACTTTTTTTGTTATTATGACCATTTTCACCAGGACAGCACAATGCTTTACTGGGTGATCTGTCACCCACTCACCCACATTCCTACAGCATGGAAGAACCTTCAGCATCAGTCCACACTCTGCTCTGGACATGCACATGCCTTGTGCACACTGAATCACAGGGTAGGTTTTTTGAGGCATTCTGTGGCACATGTGCATCCTGAGATCCCCTGCCAAAGTAAAGAGATGGAGTGAAACCTACTTATGCTCCTTCAACCCTCTGGAGGATTTTCCAAGAGACATTTCTTCCACAGTGACAGAAATGTGTATGTTTCAAATGAAAATACAGAGAAGGTGCTGCCTTCTTCATGTTTCTTGAATGTGTGATTCCAGGTATATGCCTGTCCTGTGCCAGGTCTTGCTTTTTCAGTATTTTGGAGCCATCCAGAAGGGAGAAGTAAGATAAACATAGCTATAACTCTGAGAGTAGTGACAGAGCTGGGTGATATCATGCAGTCATACCTGCCAATTTTGTTACTCACTCTCTGTTTTCTTTGCTTCTTTCTTCTGTTTGTCTGTCTCTCTTTGTCTCTTTCACCAGTAGCAGCCCTATTATTACACGGATGTCCTGACTGTGGGGTGTGCTGTGGGTGTTGGCTGCTGCTTTGGGACACCGCTTGGAGGCAAGTGGCTGTTCTGTTTTCTTTTCCTCAGGTACCTAAATCCTCTCCCGCCTAGTCCTCTTCTCCTCTGCCCCTCTCCTGCACCACATTTTTGGTGTGATATTCACTTTGGACAGAGACACTTACCTTTAGTGTTTTCAACCTCCCCAGCATCTCTGACAGTCTCTTTTCCACATGTTGTCCGCTTTCTGGGGGCAAGAGGAGAAGGTTGTCTAGAGCAGTGGTCTCCAAATTGGGGTGTGCACACCCCAGGGGGTGCACAAGGTGATCTGCTGGATGTGGGAAGGAAATACCAGAATTCCTATTTTTTTAATATAAAAAAGTAAATAGATTAAACTTCACTAATATTAAGTATTTGTATTGGCAGTGGTGCCCCAATATGTCACATGGGCACTTGTCACATACAGTGCACGAGGTGCAGAGTTGCTCCCAATATAGGAGGTTGACCATGGTGCCTTCAATCATTTACTCTTTTTCAGCATATTGCAATGAATTGCAATTGATGTGTGCCCACACTGGATTAAGTGGATTTATGGATTATATTATCTAGTGTTAACGAAACTAATCCTCACAAATTGGAAAAGTGGCTTTTAAAGGTTCCTGCAAAGAGTTTATGGATTGAAGATAACACTAATAATGTGAGCACAGAGAAATGACAAGAAATGGCAGAGCTGACACTTCTAGTACAGGCCCTTATTCAGTCCCATTATGAGGTACAAACAATGGCCAGCTAATCAGATCTGAGAGGAAGTCGGATTAAAAAAGATTAAAATTATCAAAGGTTATTTTAAATAAGAATTTACATCTGCTATCGTTACATGATGAACTTTACCCTGTGTGTGTATTGTGCTTTGATAAGTTAACTAATGAGGGTATGAAGCCATCAGAATTAGCAAGACATTTAAAACCTAGGCATCCAGAGCATGAAGACAAACCTCTACAATTTTTTCAGTGATGCTTCAAGCCGTGTGACATTCAATCCAATACTTCACAAAATTTCACTGAACCTAATAACAAATGTGTAGAAGCCTCCTTTGAGTTTTCTTGCTTCACAGCAAAAGAGAAGATGCCGCATACCACAGGGGAAACACTTGTTCTTCCTGCCATAAAACGTAAAAATGGCTGTGATAGTACACAGAAAGCAATAGAGGAGCAAACTAAAATGTGTTCTTTCATCAGTAAACACTGCTAGAAGATGCATAGCAGACACTGCTTAAGGTTTGAAGAAACAAGAGTCTGTACAAATTACACAGTAGGAGAGGTCTCCTGTGCAGCTGGGTTAGAGTACAGATGTTTCTGAAATGCCTCAGATGATGGTATTTTCCAGATTCTGTTTCAATAGTGAAATGCAGAACTTCTTTCTGTGAGACACTGAAAGGAATATCTACCACAGAAGCTGCATTCTCAACAGTAAATTACTTCTTTAATAAAAAAATGTTTTATGGAAGAGCTCTGCAAGTGTAACAACTGGTGGAGCAGAATAAGAGAAGAATTGGGGGGTAAGGTTACCTAGGCACCGCTACACCTGGAATTCATGCACTGCAGTGTTCACAGATGAGTTATCGCAGCAAAGAGATGGGAGCCAGGCATGCACAAGGTACTACAGGATGTGGTTGATGTGGTTCATTTAATAAAAACAAGACCTTGAAAGAGTAGAATCTTTACAGTACTTCATAATTAGATGGGAAATGGCCATGAAAATCCTACAGGCATTTGCTGGTTATCTGATAGCAACTTTAAAGAAGAATAGAATTTAAAGTCCAGTTGTACATTTTTCTTTTACAAAAAGACAAGTGCTCTGAATTTGCTAATCTTTTCTGTGATGACAAGTGTCTGTCAGTAGATTGCTACCTAGCAGTTATTTTTGAAAAAGTAAACATACTTGATGTATTTCAAGGTGAAAGTGATGTTCTAACAGTGGGTGAGAAAACTGCTTTTCAAAAGAAATTTGTGGAGGTTTTGTGAATCTGTTGCCAAATACAATGTAAATGTCTTAGCTACAAAAACTGTCACTTTATATATACTCAAAAAACTTGAAAACAGAAATTTCTACCTTTTTAAAAATCTTCAAGATTGTAATTTTCAGTGGGTTTCAAACTTGTTAAAAATATAAAAATTCAACATCTTCTGATTATTTTGCAACAACAAATGATTGACATCAGGGAGGATGAAAATTTACTACCCAAATTTTAATAAAAGTCTTTACATATGTGGTGGGTGGGATTGAAAAAAATAGCATCATGATTTAGCCAGCAAATGATACATTTCTTGCATTTGGACCTATGTGTCTTTGTGAGACATTCTTTTTAGACCAAGTATCAAAATAATTGAACATGGAACCAGACCTTTGACTCCCTGTGTCACAAAGCGTTAAACCCAGATTTTTGAAAATAAAGAATATCACTATTTTAGTGAGAACAATTTTTTTTTGCTCCATTAATAAATAAACCAAATTATTTTAAAATTATGTTTATTTCATCTTTATCTCATCCGTGTTTATTTTCTATTTTTGTGCATGTTTGATATTGTACACAATACTTTAGTACAGTAGTATATGCGCATTATTTTTAAATAAATACACACGTGTGGGGAGAGTACATGCTCAAAAACCTTTTTTTTGGTAGGGGTGCATGATCAAAGAAGTATGGAGACCACTGCTCTAGGAAGCTATTTAGAATCCTCTCTCATGCTTCTAACATGACGCTTGTTATTTTAACTTTGCTCCCTTCCCAACTCTTTCTAGGGGTTCTTTTCAGCATCGAGGTCACCTCCACTTACTTTGCTGTGCGCAATTACTGGAGAGGCTTCTTTGCAGCCACCTTTAGTGCCTTCGTGTTCCGAGTCCTGGCTGTCTGGAACAAGGATGCAGGTAAGCTAAGAGCCATTCCTGCTCTCTTTGCACAGAAGTTGCTCCGTTCATGCATTATTTTCCATCTTTCTCAAAACCACAATGTTTTTATGGTGTTTGGAACTTCTGCCACAAGACAAGACTTCCAGCGGCACAGAAGGAAGGAGAAAGGGAAGTGTCTTGCCATCTTGTCAGCTGTCTAGTCCAACCTATTCCTAGGAGAGCTGGGGTGTATCTAACTGATAAATGACAGAATATGAGTCCTCAGCAAGGAAAAGACCCCCTGAGGTGGGATTTTTTTGGCCTCTACTCAGAATAGCATCCAGGCTGTAACACAGAGATATCCTGTCACACAGGATGTAATCCTTGATGGAAAGCTCATGGCCTGCTTTGGTTATCTGTTGACTAAAAACAGTCGAGAAAACTGAGATGATTGAATGATTAGGAGAGTACAGGATTGGTAGGATCTGACTGAAGGTCCTGAAAAAATAAAGTGTCTCGAGTAACTGAAAAGCACAAGAGTGACATTTGTTGCAGCACAAGTCAGGCTTGTCCAGGAGAGCATCTCAGCCACTGTGAGAACAGAGTTTTGGTGCAGAAGGCTGCCATTTCTATGTAAATTTCTTCTTTATAATGCTTTTACCTTTTGTTCTTATAATTACATCTATTTTATTGAGCTCCATGTGGGCAGTTTACTTACTTGTAACTGCTGTAACATGTCTCTCTTGACTTCAGAGGGATGGATTTTTTTGGGGTTTGAATATTCTCTGGAATATAGAAAATGACTCCACTTTCTACCTGAATGTAGAAAGTGACTACATTGTTCTTTGTGTAGCACTGCATAAAAGTCAGGTGTATTTAACCATTGGGTCTGTCACAAAAAACCCAAAACCCCTATCTTTCTGTTCTTTCCAGAGAAAAAGATAAGAAACTCAAAGACAGATAACAGGAGATAATTTACTGTCCTTCACTTTGTCTTTTCTGTCTCCCTTCTTGATCTCTCAAATCACTAGAAATTAGTTTAATTTCAAATCACTAGAAATTAGCTTAATCCTGAATCATCTTGACTCCTGTCCCTTCTTCAAAATCATCCAGACAGCTTTAATACCCGTATTAATGGCTCCTTAAGTTCTTCTTCATTGACTGTCTAGGTTAAAAAGTTCCATGATTCAACTGGCTATGAAAAATCATTCCTTTTCACAGTTCTGTATTTCCTTTGTGTTGTCAGTCTCCTTGTCCTTGTATTAAGGAACTAGGAATTTCTATCTAGCTAAGTCATTCATTATTTTATGGTCTTTTATCATATCTGCTCTAACTTGCCTTTCATGTCTTTTCTTGCTCATTTATTTCCCTTCAAAAGTTACACACCCAGTCTTCTCAGTCTCTGTTCATACTCTATTATGCTTGCTACCAGGAAGAAGGAGGTAGGGAAGTGATCACATCAGAATGACAGATGCAAGTAAGTTGTGTAGCATCTCACCACAATTCTTGTATTTCTTAGACCCACAGAATCTTTGCTGGGTTCTTGATACTCATGGCTTTGTTGGCTGGCCTTGCACTGTTACCTGTACATTCCAAATAACTTCTGGTTGTTTGCCAACCACTCTGGCTGGCTGCTGCAGCTTGAGCCCAGCTTTGCCAGTCATGGAAGGCTGGAGTTCTGCAATTTGCAGGATTTCTGTTTTGCCGTGTCCCCAGCTTTCATCTTATTTGCCATAGGATTTCATGCCTTGCCTTCCTCCTGCTCCTTCTGGTTCCTGCTACACATGGTTCAGTGTTATCTTAAAGTTCAAATCTATTTTTAAATAAACGTTCACATTAAGTACTTTCTCATTCCTTTTTACTTCTAGCCTTGTAGGCATTGGACAGATACTCTAAAGTAGTACATTTTGTAGCCAGTGGAGAAAAAAGGGCTTAGACATTTAGGTTCAGGATGGCTTAGTCACACAGGAAAGAGGATGTGGACAGGTGGGATGAATCTGTCTGTGGAAATCTCTTTCTCTCCTCTGGGAGTAGAAATGGAACTAAGAAAGGCACAGACTAAATGCTGTGCCTTTTTTCCTTTTCTCTGGTCATCCTTGCCACCCTGTAGCAAAACTCTTTGAAAATGAGTTCACTATACTTTTTAATGCTCTGCCATTTAGTGGCTTGGACTATCTATTTCCTAAAACTGAATTGAGATGATCCCTTTCTTGGGCTGATCTAACAAAAAAAAGGACATCCTGCTTTTCACCATCTTCCCTCCCCGACTGTTCTTTTAACCCTCCCTGGTGCCATCTCTATGTTTGTTGTTCCCCTCAGTTCAACTCACTTCCCTGGCAAAGGAGTAATCCAGAGAAAGAGCAATAGGTTTTCTGGCAGGTTTTAATGAGGCAAAGGAGCTCAGAGAAGGCTGTGATGTGTCAGTGGGCCCGATGGGAGAGGAGAACAATAGCACAGCCAGGAGGGAAGGAGCAGGGGGAAGAGACAGGGAGCAAGATCTTCCCAGTTTGGATAGTAGAATGCAGTTTTAGGCTTAGCTATCTTAGGTAATGGAACCCACTGAGACCTCATTAAATTATTACTCTAAACCTAGTTCTGTCTGACAAAATAACAAGTACTTAATGTTTCCTGCTATCATATGCTAGATTTTCACTGCTTCTTTTATTTCCCCATTGAACAAATAATTCCTTCATCCAGAGAAAGTTGGGGTTTATAGTCATTCTCATTCAGCTGCACTTCCACTCTGTATAAAATTGCTAATTTATCCTTCACCTGTTGGCACACAGATGTTTATTGTTTCTACACAATAACACACCTCCAGACAAAAGCAGCTCAGGTTTCAACATTTCATTGTAGCAGAGCAGCACTACCAGGAGGGGTGAGCTGGAGAAGATGGGGCTTAGCTGATCTGTTCCATCTCTGATTTCTAAGTCTTTCATTGTTTTGGTACCAGTCAAAAATTTTGAAGCTCTAACTTCAATGAAGATCTAAGTTTTGTTTCTGGAAGGCAATTACAACTGTGAGAGGTGAAACAGCTTTCTCAGCTATGCAGGCATTGCCTGCCTCAGCAAAGAGACCTCTCAGTCAGTAAGAATACCAGGAAGAGCATTTTTTTAATAGTGAATGGATAGTAGAAGACAAGAAAGAAAAGAAAAGAAAATCCTATAAAAATCAGGGATTTTTTAGCTAAAAATAATGCATGCATTCTCAGAAAGCAAACCTAGACCATCTAGAGTACTAGGGTTGCAGGTGCTCAAAAAAAGAACCTACTAAATCAGAGCAGTCTGCCAATCTGTAATAATGTATATAACATCAGGAAACCACATAGGAGCATGTATAAACCAGTTTCCTTGTCTCCCTAGCTTTTATTGCATTTAACTTCTCACCTCATTATTTTCTTTTCTCCTCTATCTTTCATCTCTCACAGTTACCATCACAGCCCTGTTCAGAACAAACTTCCGTATGGATTTCCCCTTTGATCTGCAAGAGCTGCCAGCATTTGCTATAATAGGGTAAGTTCCCAGGAAACTGACACCTTGCTCTACAAAGGTTATATCATCTGTGTTAAGAATTCTTCTGCCAAAAAGTTGCGTACATCACTTTTAGTCACTTTCGTTGTCGCAAATAAGGCTTCTATTTGTTTGAATTCTTCCTTCAGAAATGGTGCCCATGCATCACAATGGCTAAGGAAAGAAATATGGGTATTACTAAGGTGTTTGTTATTTCCTTTCCATGCATCTTTTTCAGAAATTAAGCTTGGAGGTTAAAAAAAAAAAAAAGTAAGTCTAACTTGGTCAAAATTCTGGGAATAGATTTACTGAATAGCCCTTTAATTGTTTTGACATTATCCCCAAATGAACGGATCCAAGAAGTATGGCCTTTTATCATGACAAAGATGGAACAAAAGGTTTAACCTGAAGTTTCCTTTTCACAAGCTCAGAATGATTATCCTTTTTGAGAGAGGTTGGTATACCTGACATGGTGACAAGGATAACCAACAGTACCTGGATTCAGTGAGGAAAAATGGTTCATTTGGAGGAAATGAAAGAATAAACTTAAGAAAAATGAAAATTGGAAAATACTAGAGAAAAGATGAATTTGGAATTACTGTGGGGGGAAATCTCTGGTTAGAGCTTGAGGGAGGCTCCAGGAAAATCACTTCAAGCAGTAACAAAAGGAATACACTGTAGGAACAAACGCCTGTTCTGGCATTGTGAACATATTCTCTTACAAGACCTCCATCCAAGACCAGAAATATATTTGAAGTTTTCCAGCCTATTTTAGTAGGCTGCTCTCCCACTAATTTACTTGAATATGAAATCAAGTGGGGATTTTTGAAGCCATCAGATATATTGAAAAATCTGTGAATACACAGGAGCTTTTGCTAGCAACATGTATTCACTTTGTTCTTCCCCTTAAACAGACTTGCCTAATGAACTTGGAGGAATCTACTGGTTTAGATTGGCAAGGAAAAACATAATCCTTGTGATTTTACAGCTGGTCATTAGAATGCAAAACCTCTTGTCACTATGTTTTGGACAGAGTTGACAGAGCTGGGTTTTTTCAGCATTGCACATAGGCTAGGAAAGGAATATATGACAACTGCAAAATGCTTTCAAATGCCTGGCTATCTAATGTGGTCTTTAAAATAAAAAAACAACCCCAAAGGCTTGGATAGGCGTGGATAAAGTCCTGATGCCAACGCGGAATTCTCCAAATTCTCTTAACATTAAGTCTCAAAGTTGAACTCTCTTTCTACCCAACATATTTCTTCACCTTCACGTGGGACAAGCACTATCAATGGGTAGATCTTGTTTTTCTGGGTAACCAAATGTTAATTTGCATAATCTACATAGAAGGAGCACTTCCAGTTTATTGATAAAATGATATACAGGAATGGAGAGACCTATATTTTAATATAAAACATTATAGAGAAATTCAGTTGACTGTGCAGTCTTTAGGCTTATATTGCCTAAGGCACTGGTCTATTTTAAACACTGTTCTAATCAGCACCGGCTTAAAATATTGAAGAGTAATTCATTGAACCTGTTTGTCTATGAAAAGCTTTATATTTAGTTTAAACAGGTTTCTGTGCAATTTTTAAATGATAAAGCAGGATTATTTTCAATGTACAATTTTTTAAGTATACTAAATAATTCATTGAATGAGATTTGGCAAAAGCATGCATAACATATAACCAAGCAAAAGTCCATTAATTTTAGAAATCAACAGAATGAAAATATTCAGTGTTTATCCTCAGTATTATGTGAGTTATTGCTTGCCACCTAAAATAAAGCTTCCCCTTACCAATTCTAAATGCAGTCTTTTTTCACTCTTCTTTTTCTTTTCATGTTTGAGTATTAGGCCCTATTTATCCAAGTCTCATTAAGCTACAGAGCCTAAGGATCACACCAATTCTTAGAGAACTACACTTTTTTTCTTACTTTATTCAAATCAGGCGCATAAGCCTAAGTGATTAGGATCATAGAGATGATATACTTTGCTTTAGGCACAGGAGTTACCATTGCTATTACTAATTGTTGTAGGCGTATAATTTTACTGAATCAGATTTAAAACTCCCCTCATTTTTACTATTTTCTGTTCCAACCTGATGTTTTAAGTTCTGACAATACTGCTCTTTGCCCGGTTGCTCTTCACGGGCCCTCACTGAGAACTGTCAGTCTCTTTTTAAAATTATTTTATAGATTTTCCCCTCTCAGCAAGAGAAAATTGGTAAAATGGTAGTGTGCATGACAGAGGTCCAAGATAATTTCTTCCCTTCCATCAGGGAGTCAATATCTTCAAATGAGCTGCTGTAGGAGTAACCCTCTAGGTGACATTCAAAAGACTTCACGAGCAGCTGAAGATTAAACCACTTAAACTCATTTTCTTCTTTGATGGTTTGTGTATTACCTGTTGTTTGACATTATTTTATTTATTTTTCTCCATTTTAGCATATGCTCTGGATTCCTTGGAGCCTTTTTTGTTTATCTCAATCGCCAAGTGGTCCTGGGCATCCGACGTCATAAAGCCCTGAGCCAGTTTCTCACCAAATAGTGAGTGCTTGTGAAGACATTCTCTTTAGGGACCAGATTCTTACACCCTACTGGCATTGGAGAGTAGCAAATGCTTTCTGGATGACAGCACACCTATTTCACGTGTAAGATAGTAAAAAGATGAGAAACTGCTCCTGTATGAGAGAGTAAGATCTCTGCAAATATCAAGAGAATTTTTCCGGTACTGGATTTTCCTTTTGGTCAGCTTCCACAGTGTCAAATAGCTTCTTGATTTGGAAGGGAGACTCTGCAATATTTGTTAAGAGGATAAGGCAAACTATTCATTGGACAGAAAATATTTTTAATTAGAAAGTCAATGATCATGCTTCTTAAAATCACGCTGTTTCTGGTTTGTTTGGGTTTTTAGGATCTGTGAAAAATTCAACATTATTTATATTTCAGGAAAATTAAATATAGCTCAAATCTAACGATGTTTTTTAAATATATATTTGTTTTTTAATCAAAGTGTTGGCAAAACTGTAAGGAATGTGCTCCATTCTTATGAAACAAAAGCTGAAACTGATAGTTACCAAACGGTGTGAAATGCAGCATGGAAGTGATGCAAAATAAAAGTCTTTAAAATAAAGTTTTTACAGGACACTTGAAGATACTGTTTTCCCCTCTCTATTAAAGTCCTAACCTCCAAAGTTCATAACTTGGACAAGAAATGGTGGCTAGCTGTAAATGTCTTCAGTCTCTTTACAGAAAAGATCTGATACTATGAGAATTTTTGAAGTTGAGAGGCATGGAGGACTTTATTTCTTATCCAGTTACAGGCCTGACCAGAAGAAAACCACTAAATAAACAGAATTACTTTCTTATGTGGAAGGAAAAATGTCTTTCTTCATCACGTAGTCCCTTACCCACAAACAGCAGCACAGCTATCAAATCAAGTTAATACAGAAGTAGAGCAAAGCCTGAAAAGTGGGAATCTACTTTTCACTGATTTCTCAGATTTTTTAGGTCCTTAGACTGAATCAAATTAAAGGTTATATTCTGTCTTCCTAAATCTCAGCCAGCACTTCCTGTAGGAAACTGTAACTTGCTGAGGGACACATGACAGGATTAGTCCAGCATGTGGAAGCAGTTTAGGCTCATGCTCAGTGCTCGTGCTTGCGAAGTGTCACAGCAGGGCAGGGCATTAAACTGCCAGTAAGAGCACTCCAAAACAACGGAGACAAATACAGAGAGCATCACAGCATTCCTAGTCCTGAAGTGATGGTGCTACAAGAACAGGATGTGAGGCCATATTGTAATAACTTTCTTTCTTTACAGCCGACTGATATACCCTGCAGTTATAACCTTCTGTATAGCGTCTGTGACATTTCCTCATGGATTTGGGCAGTTCATGGCAGGAGAGGTGAGACTCGAAAGTGTATTACCAATTCTGTGCAGTTCTTTGGAATGTTATCGCCTTATCCTCTGCCCCAATAACCTTGTGTCAGGGAAAAGGGAAGGACGATATGGGAGGAGTTTGGACTGAGGAGGCACTATATGATCTCTGCTACCTCCTTCATAGAAAACTTAAAAAAGGTCCAGTCTTCTAAGCAAATAATAAGGAAGATGTTACGCCATGAGTAAAAGTAATTATCTCTTCATGTGTTTGAGTAAAGTTCTGTCTCTCTTCCTGAAGATTAGAAATGCGAATTAAGCCTCATAGTCATGAATTCCCATGGTAAAATCTCCTCCACTTCCTTGCAATACAGATAGAATATTTACTCCATCTAATGTCATGATTCATACCTGTTTTTTTGCTGTTTAGTTGATGCCACGGGAAGCCATCAGCACTCTCTTTGATAACTATACCTGGATCAAACACTCTGGGGACACCCAGATCCTAGGGAAATCTGCTGCCTGGGTCCATCCTAAAGTCAGCGTCTTTGTCACCATCCTGCTCTTCTTCCTCGTGAAGGTAGGAAGCTCAGCTCACCATAACCCTTCTCCACTCAGACTGAATGTTCTTCCCTTTTGTGAAGCAGTTTGTGAAGAGCCAATGAGGCTGCTGGGCATTGAATGAAGCACTACAGCTGCAATGGATTCCTACATCTTCTGATGTGATGTCTGTCCACCTCAAATTACCAAAATTATTAAGGAATATTTTCCTTAATAGAGTGGCCTTTTCTGCTCCCTAGGTAATCCTCCTCAGGCATCCTGCTGAATGACCTTTGGTATCCACTGTATAGCAGCTGGTAGGGAAGGCTAAATCAGGAAAGATTTCTCAAGTCCCAATAAAATAAATACTTGACTAAAAAGCTCTCAGATAATTTACGTTTGATCTAAATGAGGTCTGATACAGTCTATTTGATATTCCTAACTTCAGATAGGAGACAAATAGGAATATGCAAGCACAATCTATAGTTGTGTGAGGCTCAAGGATTTCTTAGAAGTCCATCAAAACTTGATGGAGAAATGCAGCTGGAAACAGTTTTTCTCACTTCCTTGAAAGCAACAGAAGATTAAAAATTCTGACCTGACATGGTCTGTGGAAGTTGCAAATGTTCAGCCTCTGAAAGGATCAGCTATGTAATTGGCATAGGACAGAGAAAAAAAAAAGACTTCTGAAATAAGAAAACATCATATTCCAATGTTCAAAATAAAAGTAGCAAGTAGGAGGTTTTCCTAAGATGAAAGAAAGAAAGATTAAAAAATATCATAGAATAGGTGCTAATTTTTTTATTACTTACTTATTGCAAAGGGGCAGAAGAGCTGAGGCCACCTTGCAATGTCAGTTGAAAATTTAGGTAGATCAAGAACAGCTATCAATGACTGGTTGACACAACTGTTTCCACCTAAAGTAAACACTATCAAATTTCTGACAGGTAGTTAAGGGTTCTCCTTCTGTGATAATCCTTATTACAGCGTACCAAGCAGAAAAGTTCTTGCTTACTCAAAGAAAAGAGGAGTGGAAAGGAGGACTGGACTACAGGGTGTGTCTGTCCTGAGTCCATCTGCCTTTGGAGGAGCTGTACCCTTGGTCACTAGATTCATTGTGACCTAGGTCACATTGGCATTGTCCTGCTAACTAAAGGCTTTCTCTACTCACTAGATAACTGCTCTTGATTTTCTGCTGGATATATTCAGCATTGGGATAGACCACATAAACACGAAACTACTATTTTGACTGTGGGCAAAGGCCTGGCCTGATTCTCCACTGCAGTATAGTCAGTTTTCAGCAGTATTTGGCCAGGTTTGGTACTGCAAAGACAGAGCTCAGTTAGCAGTACTACACCTCAGCAGCTTTCTGGTCTCTGTAGCCAGGCTGGGCACAGAGTGGGGCAGCAGGAAACGCTTCTGCTGCTCAGTAACAACGGCACCCTCTGCCTCTGTTCTAGTTCTGCATGGCTGTTATTGCCACCACGATGCCAATCCCCTGTGGAGGTTTCATGCCTGTTTTCGTACTAGGTGAGTTTCAATTTTGTTTTGCAGCATATTCATCTGACAGGGGGAGAAAATAGGAGAGACACTGCCTACACACCCAGCAGGGTTCATCTGGCATATGAGGAGTCATCACTTGATGTCTATGACAACCTGATTAGCAGTCCATAAGCCAGCCCCTGGGTCTCTGCTTTTGACATTTCCTCAACCCCTGAAACCAAATCCCAAGTAGGTAATCCCTACCCTTTTACATAAGGAAGGCCACACTTGTGCTGAGCCATGGCCTTCTAATCTCTATGCCTCTTCACTTACAGAGAAACTTCCATCCTACAATTCATAGTAGCTCTCCTTTCATCCCTGAAAGCCAGTCAGAAGAGAGAACCTCAAAACTAGTACCCACAATGTAATCTAACTAATTTCTTCTGACTGAAATGTGATAACAGATAAAGTTTATTGACCTTTAAATGGTTTTAATTCCAGTAACAACAAAAAAAATTTCAAAATAATGTGATTCTAATGTTTATAAAGAGAGGCTGAGTTAGACTGAACCATACAAGCTCATGATGTTCATCACTAAGTACCCACAACTCTCAAATGAAATAGAGTTCTCTAAGGACCTCTGAGTTCTGGCAGGCAGCAACTAAACATGAGGCAGTAACCATGCCTTTGCAGTTATGAAGGCTAACCAACATCAGGGCTGTATTAGGAAAAGACCTAGACAGTTTGGATGCAATCTGGAACACTGTGCTGTTTTGTGTCCACCAGTCCAAGAGATCCTTGCAGACTTGTAAAACCTGTCTGAACAAGACATGGGTGTCTCCATCTCACTTTGAAATCAGCCCTTTTCTGAACAGGGGTCAGAACAAGACCTCCAGAAGTCCCTTCCCACAAAAACTCTCCTGTAAGCTATGATTCTAATGTTTAGACATTCACAGAATGAGAGTCTAAAGGGTCTCAAATGTGATCTGGACTGACATTGTACACAGTCTGAAAATATGACCTCCTCCAGCCTGGGAATCCCAGCCTGGGAATCCTCCAGCCTAGGAATCACAACTACTGCTGTGCCTGGTGTGCCCAAGTGAATGAATGAGGGGTCAACTGTATTTACCAGTCTTAGTACCCTTTTTTCCTCTTGGAGTCTAAGTTCTGTATTTTTTAACTGAGAACTAGTCTTTAGTTACCAGTGTCATTTTAATGTAAGTTTTGGTTTTATTTCTGTTAAAAAATATCCAAGTGATTGCCCAGCATAGCTGCACAGCACAGACTGGATGTTCCTTAAATGTTAACTCCATAACTGTCAGTGATATTTTTCAGGTGCTGCATTTGGACGTCTCATTGGGGAAATCATGGCATCACTTTTTCCCAACGGGATCCTCTTTGATGACATTCTCTACCAAATCTTACCTGGAGGGTATGCTGTCATTGGTGAGCCTCCATGTCTTCCTTTTTCCTCACCTGGTCCCACTGCTGTAATTTTCCTGGTTGACATGATGTGCTGTTCCTATATGACAGTCTTCTTCTCTCCCTATTCCTTCTCCTACCTGGGAAAGGTGCAGCAGCTTTGACGGGAGCAGTGAGCCACACTGTCTCCACCGCTGTCATCTGCTTCGAGCTGACGGGTCAGATCTCTCACATCCTGCCCATGATGGTGGCTGTCATTCTTGCCAACATGGTGGCCCAGAGTTTGCAGCCCAGCCTCTATGACAGCATCATCCAGGTGAAGAAGTTGCCCTACCTGCCAGACCTGGGCTGGAATCACATAAGGTATTAGTAGCAAAACAGGTGGAAACAGGGAGTGGCAAGGAAATAAAGCAGGAGAGGGATAAGACCACAGGACCACAGGGGAGTAAAAGGTTACGAAAAGGGTCCAGTACTACAAAGGAATTAAGAAGGCACAATAGGCCTGCAGTTAGAAAAAACAAGTGATGGAATAGAATTAGGTTTCATACACAAAAATGGAGAAAAGTCCTCTTCTTTTTTTCACTGAAAGCACAAGTCTGAATGACCTGCAATGTTACTAAATTTGTATTGATGTTTCCAAATTGCTTCAGCTTCAAAATTTGACAATCATGAGTCTCATTTATCTAAATTCAGTGAGGTTTGGATATTTTTTCCCCAGCAAATGTTTTAAATACTTTATTTGGGTATTTTGCTTGAAGCAAAACTCAGTTATTCCTATAAATGTCTTCCCCTCTCTAGTATATATCATATACATGGGTATGTATATAAAAACCATCCATACATATATGTATACATGTGTGTATTTTATGGTGAGGAGTAACAGAGTGGAATACAACTGTAATGGAAATCCAGTTAATCTGTATTTATCCTCTTGGAAAGTCCTCTGGTTACTCTCACAGAAGATCATTTGGCAGCTCTATTTTGAGCACTTTTTTAAAAAGTAGTCATTTGGGTATTTCTTTAGAGAATTTTTAATATGCTAACTCTTCCTCTTATCATCCCCAAATTCACAGCAAATACAATATCTTTGTTGAGGATATTATGGTCCAAGATGTGAAATTTGTTTCCTCCAACTGTAAATACCGAGACTTGCAAGAGGTACTCCAAAGCACCACAGTGAAATCTTTGCCTTTGGTGGACTCGCCAGGTAGGCAACGTGGAGAAACTGGTCCTTCCTGAAGACTGTCTCAGCTTGGAGAAACTAGTTTTCAAATTACATGGTGTGAAGCAGGCAGTGCGACCTACCACATAAAAAAAAAAATCCTAAAAATCTCCCACTGCGGATGATGTATGGCAGGCGGCTGTTTCAGCTGGCCAGACAGGGAAGCTGGAGTGTGGGCAGTGAAGCAGATCCAGCACATAAGGGAGATGTGTGGGAAGTCCGTAGACTGAACTGTGACAATAGGGCCCTCCTGGGATCCTGCATGAGCCAAGAGCATGCATGGGATGGCACAGCTCAGGATGGCGAGGTCCCTTCCTAAAGCCCCACAGCCTAGGAGCCACCACAGGGCGGGTCAGTGACTCTCGTAGTATGAACTAGATAGTATGAACCTGAGCACCTGGAAGAGGCTGGAAGGAGGAAGGGGTGACGTGTGGAAGGGGACCTTCAACACCCTGAGGTGGTTTAATGGCTTCCCTGCTCTGTGTTGTGCAGAGTCCATGATCCTCCTGGGGTCCGTGGAGCGGTCGGAACTGCAGGCTCTCCTCCAGACACACATCAGCCCAGAGCGGCGACGGCTCCTCAACAGAGAAATGCAGCAGAAGCTGAATGAGGCACCCTACGATGGACCCTGGGCAAACCTGCCCAAGCTGAAGCACGAATCTTTTGCTTATGTCGATGAGGATGAGGATACAGAGGAGAAGGGAGAGGTGAGGAGTGGGCAGACTGCAACGTAGAGACTGCTTAGAAGCAGTCAGGCATTTGGGGAGGCTGAGAAATAAATGGCACAAGGTGGACTTCATTTTCTCTCCTTTCCGTAACAGCTGCCTCGGCCTCCAAGTCCCACTCCCAGTTACCCAGAGGAGCCAAATGGCCCAACAAGTCCTCTTAAACAAATGCCTGAAAGCTTGGAGCCCCAGCAACACTCAGGTATGGTAACTTCTGTCACGGCTCAACCATATCCTAGCCAGCTTGGGGAAGCTTTCATGCTAACTGTGTGTACCTGCCTGTGTGAAGGGCTGGTTTCCCAGAGACTGAGAGGAGGAGCTTCCTCTGCTGCTCCTGAATGACACTTTGTTAGTGCACCCCAACATCAGTGTACCTGGAAATACCTTCTGTTATGATCCCTCAGGCAGCACAGAATAAGTAGGCGCACCAAGGATGGACTCTCTCTGTCTCCCCACTCCATTCTTTGCAATAACAACTCCTTGGACATTTTCTGTAGAGTCTGCATAGAACAGTCCCATCTCTTGGCTCCTTCACCACGTGAGTGAATCTCCCTGGGGAAAGCAGCCTGAGAGCTAAACATCTGCACTAATTTTTTGAGTAGCTTAGGCTGCTGTTCAGCCATCTCCAAAACTGAAAGGCTCCTCCCTTGGACAAACTCTTTGATTCAGCTGCATCAATGTGATGGACAAACATTGATGTATTGTGTTCTTTTGTGGCACACCCCAGCCTGTATTAGCTTTGCTTTCAAGACTGTACTCATAGCTCCTTTCTGATTCACTTTTCATGTATATGTGATGCAGGATGGTGGGTTGTTTTTACCCCTTATGCACCCTGAAATATGCAGAGAGTGAGTAACCACAGAGATGCAGCCCAGTCTTGAGAATAAGTACAGAGGATAGGGCTTTAACTCATGCTTTTAGGCACCCAAGTATTACATGTAATAGAGCATATAGCACATTCTGGTTCATTAACACCCCTCATGTGTGACTAAACCTCTAAGGCATAGAAAAATCCACTCTATGCTTCCAGAGCAGTGGAGTGGTGGGTCAGCCATCCACCTATCCTACCAAAGCAGAAAAAGAACCACATATGAAAACAAGGACAGTGTGTGAAACATTTTATGTGAAGCTAGAACTGGGTGACCCAGGAATGACATGAGGAAGTGGAACAGCAACGAATTAATGAGACCTTCCTTTTCTTTCTTTAGTTTGGCTCACAGCTATCACTGTTTCTGACCAAACTTCCTCCACAGCCTTGTCCACAACAGCACCAGGCCTTGTATCCTTCTCTTTGCTAACTCCTTGCCTGGGAGTATAATTCTGATATTTTCTATTCCCATCATTCCACTGCTGGCAGAACGCATGGACTCCTCACCCCTTGGCACCTGTCACATCCAGTTTGTTGATACGTTTTGTTGCATGGGAATATTAATTCTGGAATGTCCCAGACACCATCTTACAAACTGAATGCCAGACTGTGACTGGCTCAGCTCTGTTGTGTCCCTCACAGCATTTCCCAGCCTGCCTTGGCTAAGAGGATGCGATAGGTGTGGAGCTTTGTATTTTTGTCTCTCATGTGTTCTTCTCATCTGTTCTTATCCACATGTTTGTTCTCATCCTTCAGGCAGTTTCAGGAGTCTGAGGAAACTGATCCAGCAGCTCTTGTGCCATTGCAGCCATCCACATGAAACAGAGAGCACCATCCAGGTTAGGGCTGCAGACAGCCTGGTAGTACCCTGAAGAAGAAAGGGAATGCAATGGAACTAGAAACTACTAGTTGAGACATTCAGGATTTGGCTAAAGTATGGACACAGTTATGTTCCTGAACTCTGACAGTATCAGTGGGGAACTCCCTTCAAGGAGAAAGGGTGTGATTACTGCAAAGGAGTGTGCATCTTCCTAAAGAGTCACCTGTGCTCAGGTGTCAGGCTACCATCGTGATTGAGTTTGGGCATCTTTTCTCAGTGAAAAAAAATTAATGATATTTTGGCTAACATGCAATAAAAAGCAGTTCTATTCCATTTGGCAAACAGTTTTGGACAGATGGAGAAAAATGAAAAAAAAGCACTTTTGGCTCTTGCCATGTTAAATGCCCTTGGTTATCTGACACATCTGCACAGGGTTTGGAGATAACAGACAGAGCTTATGTGAGACCCATCCCCTCCAGGGCAGTAGCTGGACCCCATGTGGGATATCCTGAGAGCACCTAAATCAGTATTAGATGGCCATATTTAGGCACCTGAATTGCTCCAGCAGAACTCCATGGTGAATTGTCACTGGCAAGGGAAGCACGGCAAGGGCAGAGTACACAGTATAATGGATGAGTATAAAGAAAATCTAAGCACTTGGAAAATCTAATACACCATTTGGAACAAAAAGGGGACCACATGGGGTGAGGAGGCTGTGCAGATTTTCCCTTTCTGTACTCTGTGAAACTGTGGGATCTTTGGCTGTCCTGAATAGTGTTTTCTCCTACAGGAGCCAGTGGAAGTCATTGAGACAATGACACCAGAAGAGGTAAGATGAGGTGCAGAAATGGAGTGAGGTCATGTGAGTGCTTCTTATACTCATTTCCTGTCACTTGCAATACTCCAGGAACCTCAGTGATTGACAGACAAAGCCATAGCCAAAATTATTTTCTTCCTGGAGTGGCACAGTGGGCAAGTCTCACCCATAAGAGAAGAGATTGGCTAGATGTGCTGGTAAGACTGCCTAATCTGATCTAGCTTTGAAGTCAGCCCTGCTGCATCAGGGTTTTAGACTAGAGACCTCCACAGGTGCCCCCTCATCTAAATCCTTCTGTGGGCCCATGTTGTTCCTTCATTTCTCACACAATGGACCACTTATATTGCAACAAGGGGAAGATGCACTCAGAAAGGAAAGCTAAAGATGTTCACTCCCTCTTTAAGAAGGAAAAAAACAAAACCCCATCTTCTCAGAAAATCTCTGAACTGTCCTGTTTCCACAGGGACTTGACATCTGGCAAGAAAGGGATGGGAAACCTGAGGGGTGAGATATAATGGACAAGATGAATGCTGCACATAGGAAGGAAGAAGCATTAACAGGAGGAGAGGACTAGTTTGGGTACACAAGACAGCAATGCTGCAGGTAGCTGCAAGAGTGACCCCCCTTCTTTCCTGTGTCAGATAGATGCTTGGGAACAGGAGGAGCTGAACAAGAGCGTGTGCTTTGACAGCTGCCGTGTAGATCCCTCCCCTTTCCAACTGGTGGAGAGAACTTCCCTGCACAAGGTGAGTGCAGATATCTCCCTGAGGCAAACATCACTTTTCTCCACTCATTCCAAGTCCAGTCTATGACATTTCTTCTCCTTGTCTTCACCTACAACTACTATCACCAGCCACTTTCACATCGAGCTACAGCAGTGAGTTTGTTCCTCTAATCTTCTGTGTATATCTCCAATCTCCTGCAAAATGAAAGCCTTTGTGATAAGAGGTCTGAGTCCATTTATTTAAAAAGCTTTTGGACAAAAAGAAATAAATCTGCTACATTGACAGCAGCACTGTGTGCCTTGCTGCTGGGGCATTACACAGATTGACAGTCTGCCCTGTCAGTGTGCAGCACAGGAATGAGCACTCCTGGATTTGTCAGGGTGTTTCTATCAGGGTGTAGATTCTGCCTGTGTCACAGGCTCTTCATGGAACTGAAGCACAAGGAAAGAGGAAGCTGGATCATGCAACGCCTAGAGTCAGCATAGGATGACAGGGGAGTAAAGCAGTCATTGTGTGTCAGGAGGAAGATAGGACTGGGCTTTCACTCAGTGGAAAGGGAAAGCAGCCTACTGAAGCAAAAGTGCACAGTGCATGCTTTTCTCAATATTCAATGTGAATGGTTAGCATAGGCCTAAAATTAATTAATTACTGTTAAGATCTCAGCCTTGAGCAAAACAAGAGTAAGCTAGCATATAGTTCAGAGGAGTTTTCTAAAGGGGTAGGTGAAGTCATCTGAAAACCACTAGCATTTATCTTTGAGAATATAGGCTTACAAAAAAATATACTTGAAGGCTGATCATGGGGAAAGTTTTGTACCTGTCATACAAAAGAGCAAATGAGAAACTCTGAAATAAATACACAATTATGCTAACTCTTCCTCTTATCATCAAAAAAAACCAAAAAAAAAAAAAAAAAAAAAAACAAACCAAAAAAAACCCACAAAACTCCAAAACCAACAATCCAGGAATAAATAATCAAACTATATGAAGTATGCACAGTTAGAGCTATGAGACTACTGACAGTGAAAAGAATACCACAGTTTATCATGACCAAACTATATTTAACCAGTCTGGTTTTCTTTTACACTAGAGTAAAACGTCTTGTTCTTGAGAAATCAGATTTTTCCTAGTTTATACTTGAACATGACATTCAGTATCTCATGATGCTAAAAAAAGGTCAAACACTAGCTGTGACAGAATGATTTCATGTAAGGCTTCAGGTAAAGTCCAGCTAGAGCTCAGCTTCAAGAACTTGGAGGTTGGAAACATGCCAGAGATGAGCACTGAGAATGTGGAAAGTTTTGGAAACACAGATTTGTGAATAATAGGAAAATAATGGGGTATATTTAGGCTGAAGAAAAGAAGACTGATAGCAGTGTGGTATCTGTCCTTTCAAGGAGACTTTCTAAGAGAAAGGGAATAACTTGTTCTCAGTGTTCTCACTGCACTGGATAAGCAGCAACAAGCTTAAGCTTTCACAGAAAATATTCTGGGACAGGAAAAAAGAAATCCTCTATTGATAAGGAAAGCGCTGCAGTAAGTAACCTAAGCAGTTTTTGACTTTACATATTACTATATGGTAGCTCAGTTTCCAGCACCAAAATGAAACAGGATCTGCATAGGTCTCCAAATGCACAACAAAGGGTGTTGTATCAGAATCTCCACCAGCTGCAGGATGAGAATGACCCTGAGAATGTGCTCTCCATCATCAGCACAGTCCCAACTACAGCTGCACAGCAGAAGGAGCAAAGAGCAGTATTTAGCAGATACAAAAGGGGAAGAAGGGAAGACGTGATTTCTCACTGGGATAACTGCATAGTTTTGTGTCTTTGTGATTTCCGTTTCTAAATCCTGAGTCCCAGATCTAGCAGCAAGTTCTGTGTTGCCCATTTCCCAAGCCCCTGAGATGGTCTCTTGTGGTTTTGCTCCTAGACGCACACATTGTTCTCACTGCTGGGCCTCAGCCATGCCTACGTAACCAGCATGGGGAAGCTGAGGGGAGTGCTGGCTTTGGAAGAGGTGAGTACACATCCTCCGCCATCCTCTTCAATAACTGCAAGTGTCCTGTGGATCACTGCAGTAACTCACAGGTGCTGCAGGTTCCAGCTGGGAATATATATAACTGCAAGTGCTACGTTTTCAGTTCAGTGTTGAATTCTGAGTCTGCTCTTTGGAAGCCACGAAAAGGAATGGATGACTGCATTTCAGAGGAGGCAGCAGGTGTTGTTTACAGGGATGTTAACAAGTTCATCTTTTGCATGAGTGCAGGCTTAATAGCCACTCTTAACTGAGTGGATATTACTGTTTCTGAAAGAGGTGTGGAATTTGTTGTTTGCCATGGAATCTTTCATTACATCACCAGTGTAAAAGATTATCTCCACAGGCCCCAGAGGTAGAGCTGTGACTCTGTTTGTGATCCCTTTACCCTGGGGAGTAGATGAACTTCAGCTGGGTAGGGCTGGGCTAGATCCCTTTCATGTTTTTTTTCTAAAGTGTTTCTCTTTTTCCAGCTCCAGAAGGCGATAGAGGGTTCCACCCGCTCTGGGGTTCGTCTCCGACCACCCCTTGCCAGCTTCCGCGACATCAACCGGACTTCCATCAGCACCAAGGTGGGGCAGGACGCTCAGGCGTGGAGCCGGGAAGACGACGGCACGGTGGCAGCAGAGCAAGCAGCAAACCTGGGCACTGAGAGCCCTCTGCCCCCCTGCTCACACTCCCCCCAGCCCTCACACTCACAGGAAGAGGGGGAAGTCCCCAGCTCCGCTTATGCCACGGATACTGAGCTGGAAGAGATGGAGCTGACAGGGCGAGTTGCTGAAAACATCTCAGACATCCTCAAGGACATAAACCTACGTACCACTGACCTGGATGAAGATGAAGATGAGGATGAGGATGTTCCTTTATAGTTGATGTGAGGGTAGCAGTCCATGACACTCTTCAGTGAGCCAGTCTTCTTGTGTTTGCTCCTCCAAGAGAAGCTTTTGGATGCTCTTTGCAATCCCCACAGAGGAATGATACAGCTGGGAGGAGGGAAATCAGACTGACCCTTTCTTCTGATGCTTTCCCTCTGTGCAGACTGTTGGGCTGCTGGACTATTGGGGCACGTGCAGGTGTCAGATGTGGACTGCAAGGAGCCCGAGTGCAGGCAGAGCACACTGTAACAGGACATGGATACTGCTGACACAGTCAGGATGCCCTGGCTCAATCTGCCATGTGGAAAGTGGAGGAGGATCAGCTCTCACTCGCCACTGGTGCCGTCCTTCCAGCCACACCAGGCCTGCAGGCAGCAGTGTACCACAGCCAGACCTCCAGCCTAGAAGCATACTGCTGCTTCTGACTGCCACCCTGTCCATGCTGCTGCAGCTCCTTTTCACTGGCTCTTATCTTGCACCCCTCCCCAAACATTCCCATGTAGAACATTTTTATTCTTTCTCAATTTTTACTCTGGGATTTTCCTGGATGGGGATGCAGTTAGGAGCTTCTCCTCTGTCCTATAGCTGAGCCATGCCCTAAGAACAGATGGGAGGAAAGTATTTGGTGTACGTCTCATGTCTTGAATTCAGCCAAGGCTTTAGAAAACACTGGAAGGGAAAAAAGCTTCTTTGTTTTCCCATCATCTCTGAAATTTTAAAACAGAATGGGAAAATCTTAAGTGAGGGCATCCTCAGTGCTGGGGGAAGAGGAGTAAAACAGCATCTGTGTACCTATATTTCAAATAACTGTTTGTCTCTCTGAATCACTGTTCATAACTTTCCACAGTTATAGTCTTAAAATATAAGAACTCAAGAAAAAAAAAAAAATTATGGAGTGTTAGCAGGCTGCCAAGAAATACAGCAGAGGGAAGACACATTTTCTACACTTTGAAAACAGGTTTCTTTCTGAAAACTCCTGCTCTCTTTTCCTGGTAATTCTACCCTGCCTACTTTCCACATATTTCTGCATACCTCATATCTGAGAATTCCAGCTCTCACTTTTGCCAGCTTGTCTCTGTTGTGACTAACAGCAGAGACCTCAACCCTTGTCTGCAGCATCCCTCTCTATTCCAGTTCTAAATCTGGAGCAGATCTGCATCTTGCAAAAAGATGTCTTGTCAGTTCGTGTCATGCATGCAAAACCTTGGCATCCAAAGGTAAGATGCTGCTTTGTTTAATTCACTGCTCTTGTGAGGTTTTCTCAGTAAACAGGCAAAACCAAATTCTGTGTATTCTGCAGCTTCTTCTAACAGTCTACATCTTTTTTCTACCATATTTTTGGTGTCTCGTACCACTTAGATGCAGTCCCAAGCAGCCTATTAGACGTGTTTCCACTTATCAACAACAGAGAAGAAATCCAGGCTCAGAAAATACGTTCTTGGGGGTAATCTCATTCCCCTTCCTGGTATTAGTAAACCATTATCCATCTTAGAGTGACAAGTTCTACTTTAACATGTGATTTTCTATAAGCTGTCTCAGGAGCAAGTCAAAAATATCATTACTTCTAACCCAGTCTCCAAAGGAAAATTCCCTCCTGGCTTTAATTCCAAGGATTGACCTTGCACCAATTTCTCTCTGATGATGCTTATGGGTGGGAGAGTCTGTGACAAGCTTACAGTAGAAGGAAATCTTCCCTGCTAGTCTCTTGCAGAGAGACAAATTCATTCTTGCCGTCTGGAGTTCAGAGCCCACCACGTCTGTTGTGTTTTAGGCACAAGATCACCCTTGATAAGCTAACTGGGGACAGCCTTCCCTGCCTCAATGATGGTCTGTCCTCCGGGAGCCACCCTGTCCTTGTGAGGAGACAGTGCTGATCTGAGGGCAAGTCCCAGAGGGGCACGTTTGTGTCTGCCAGGCATCAGCACGGCCTCCCCTCCACCTCTGAGTCACCTTCCACTGCCTGCAGGGAAGAGGCAAAACACCTGCCTTTTTTTTAACTTTTTTTTTTTTTTTTTTTTTTTTTTTTTTTACTTAGGAATTGTGATAGTCCCTTATATAAGCAGAGGAGAAAGAACATTCCTTTTACAATATTCAGTGAATGACAACACTGAGGCTAAATCTGGTCTGAGGGTCCAAGCACACCCAAGAAGGATGAGTTTCGCCAAGTCATCCCCAGCCTCACTGTGCAGATTTATATTTTACAGCTTAACCACAGGCTTCCACAGATGAGACAAGGAGAAACTTTGAGGCTGGAGTCAGCACACCTCCCCCTCCTCTCCCCTGAATACAGATATATGCTCTGCTCCAGTCCCACACTTCTACAGTGTGCTACAGAAGAACTGGGATGTGACTGGCTGAGAAAGCAGATGGGAGTCTAAATCAAAGCCAGCGAGTGTGTGAGTCATGACAGACAGATTGTGGGCTGGGGGAGATGAAGCTGGAACAAAAAATGATGCACATGGAGAGAGGCTTGGGGAGTGAAACACTGGCTAACCTGGGAAGCTTCTTGAGGCTCATCACTTGAGATTGCAAGAGAACACACGTGTGCCCACACATGCACACACAGGTACCTCTCCATTCCTTTTGCCTTTAGCTGTCCCTGGGTTACTGTGAGGAGCAGGATTGCTCTCTGGGAGGGGAGCTGAAAGGTGGCTGTAACTGCTGCTCTTTGCAGACACTACTCAAGATCCATTCCAGGTATTGCCTCCACCCATGGAACAGCAGCATCTATCTGCACCATTTTCTCACCTTTATTCATACATGAAAATGTGTAAAGAGCCAGGATGGGCGAAAAAACACTCTGCAAAGATGATTTGCAAAGGCTGAAGTTGTTTCCACTTCCATCTTATCAATAAAATCTTCACTGAGTTGATGCCAAGTACATTAATAGGTGCAAAATGTGCAGTAAAATAATACTAAGCCTACCTTTGTCAAGGGAACTTTAAGCTTGTGCCCTCTCAGGCTATCCCACTACACCCTCTCAAAGTTTAAACTTGAAACCTTTGTCCAACAAACAACGTCACACTGATCTGTCACTCTAAAACCTGCATCTCCCATCCTATCCCAATAGCACAGATTTGATTCGCTACAGGGAAAAATCTTTTTTTCTCAACCCAAAATATCCCCAGAATTTGTACCAGCTGTGAGGTCTTCCCATCCAGACAGAAATTCACATCTAGCAAAAAAAACTGAACTCTTCCTTTCACATGGCACTCAAGGGTGAAAGCAGAGTCTTGTTTTCAAATGCATCAATATAAAGAATTCAAAAAACAGGGAAGACTTAAGGTTGGTAAGACAACAAGTGCAACTTTAGGTAGGTATGACATGGCTAAGAGACTTGGCCATGAGCTGAATGAAGGAGCAAACACATGGGGATGAACTACTGAATAACAAGAAATATTTGCCTCGACAAAGTATCAATTTTGATTGACATTTGAGACTAAAGAAATTCTAATTTTCTAAGCCTATAGACAAAAACAATTAGGACAGGCAGAAACATAGAGACAGAGTCCATAAAAACAACATCCCCCTTCTGCTCAGTTATGCAGATACTGTATAGAAGTGTGTCTTTTGTGGCCAAAGAGTACAAGACCAGCAATAACCAGCTGAGCAAGAGAAGATCCCTCTTTGCCAAATTAGTCCAAACCCAGGAAGGGTACAATTAAAAACACACTACTAAAAATACAGTCACAGCAAGCACTAAGTTGCTCATGGCCACATAAGCAGGTACCTGGGCAGAGCTCTCAAAAAAATATAATCAACACTAGAGACCAATAATTAAAATTTACACATACAAGATGTGCCTGAGCATTAGGGTTAGGGTCTTAAGACATTATGCAAAACTGTTTAATGCTGTGTTTGTGGGAGACAAGCTTAAACTAGTCCTGACCGTGAGCTACAGGCTGTTCTTGTGTGTCCTCGCAGCCACTGGAGAGACAACCCTGTGCATGTGCACTCAGCCACACACACAAACATCACCTCTGTCAAATCATGGCTGTGCAGTAGCAGAAAACTCTCCAACTCGGTTTCCTGTGCCTTGAGCCACATCCATCCTTCCCTCAGCTTGCTGGATGTCACCAAGTCCCAGTGCAGCTCCATTGTAAGACCAACAAGACTGCTGTGGACACTGCTGACGGCTAAGTGAGGTAGAGCCTCAGTCAAACCTATTACTAGTTCAAGCAGTGGACTTTCAAATGAGCATTTGCTCCCATCCCAGCCTTTTTAGTGTGCTGCTAGTGCAAACATCTGCTGTGTAGTAAAACCAGCTACAGAAACATATCTAGCCGACTAGAAGAATTGCACCTGATATGGAAGACAATGTCCAGCTGAGGAAAAGTCCAGTAGCAAATTCATAAATGAAACAGAATGCAGAGAAATGAAAATGTGAATTGCCTACTTTAGAGGAACAACCACCTAAGTACTGCTAGTGTCTGACCCTTTACTGAATGGCTACTCAGTTTGAAGAGCAGAAGGGAAAGCTACAAGGTATACTGAGATAGAATTAAAGCCACATAAACTCAAGGCAGAAGCTTTTCAGGTTTTTTCCACACAGAAACAAATGCAAAAGACAGTAATGGAAGGTTAATGAGAAATACATTTGAAATGTAAAAAAATCTGCTTTCTTCTTCCCCCTCAAAGTACCATAGTGCACTTAAGCAAACAGGCTGTGAAAAGAAATGGGAGCTGAGATGGCTGGATTGTGACCAAACATGTCAGGAATCCTATGCTTAACCCAAACTGGCAATTTCTCTGGCACAGAAGATAAGATCTGTCTGAGGAACCATGCAGAAAGTACCCTTGCAGCTGGCAAAGTGCAGATCCGGTGAGGTGTACAGCAGGAATGCTCTTATGCCCTTTTTATTTACCCTTCTCATTAATCACTTAGAAATAACATATGAGGTATGGTAAAACAGCAACGTGAGAGAAACATATGGCAGGTTTGCCATCTAGTCTAACAAAGAAATAAGCAGAAAGTGGAGAGCCTCAGGCAGATAGCATAGAATAAGGTTCATGCTGGGGCTAAGCAGCTAAATCCAGAGAAGATGAACTGAACTGAGGGGTAAGTCTAATCTAGTATGATGACAAGAGAGTTCTTTTAGGTGAAACATTCAGCAGCTGGATAGCATCTTTGCAGAATAATGTGAAATTAAAAAAAAAGGATGTTTTTCCTATGCAGAGGTATAACTTCCAGGGCCAGAGACATTTTGTTTTCCTAGAGACTCAAGTCTTAAACATATATGGAATAAATTATTTCATTTGACACACTACATTTCAAAAAGAAAGTAGTTTAGAAGCCATTTGGGAAAAAAAAAAAAACAGCAAAAACCACAACATCAACAATATCATCAACAACAAAACAATACAAACAAAAACCACACACAAAACCAGGAGAGAGTACAGGGGAGACTTACAAGGATTGACAAAAATAAAATTTACAAAAATAAAATTTAAAAAAACCCTCAAAAAACAACAAACAAAAACCTAAAGCGGTTAAGTAAGTGTGTCTTATGCAAGTCACAATTAATTCTATGAACATAGTTATGCAGACATACATACCAAGTGGTGGGTGGCAATCTATTTGGTAGCAAAAGCAAGTAAACTGGAAAGAAGCAAATTGAATTCAAACAGAACACAGAAAGCAAAAATCAGTGCAATAGCCCTGGTTGTGAAATATGCTAGCCTTGAGCAGGGCAACAGACACTGCTTCGTTCCTGGAAGAAAGAGAGTCTGAAAAGCACAAGTATCTTGACATGGAAATAATACCTTTTATGGCTAGAATTTAAAAGTCTCATATGGCAAACAAACTATGGCAAACAAGCTACTGGATCTACCTAATGTCCTGCATCAGAGGTACATGACAAAACAATGTTGGAAGTGGAGAGATGTTTCCTTCCTTCTGGGTCAACCAATTCCCCAGTTTGTTATGAGGAAGCGGGCGGAGAAGCATTTAAAACTGAAATGTGAACCCAGAGTCATCCTACCCAGTGTCAGTGCCTTTTATAACCTAAGCATCAGACACCTTTGTGTGTCCTAATGGGCTTTTGTGAAATTTCTGTCCAACTCTTAAGTCAGATGTGTCTGCATCTCACCAGTATTGGGACAAAACTTGTATGGAAAATGCTTATTTCAGTAGAACAGGAAAACTCACTCCGTGCTAAACTAGAGGATTGTGTTGATGTGATGCTTTCTATCCTCAAATCTGGCCTAGGATTTGTGTCCTGGTAGTCACAGACACACATCGGATTTTAGCCCTGTATAGTCAAACATGCGACGTTCTTAGTGAGAAATCAGATACTTCCTACTCTGGGGTGCTTCTCCAAGCCACCATGGATCCTTCTCAATGTGCTCCATCAGGCTATTTCCTTGAAACCCACCCCTTCTTCCTAGGATCCTCCTTCCTGAGACGCAAGTCCCCTGGAACCAGTCCCACAGAAATAAAACACTTCCACCAGCCAGGAGGGCAAGACCACATTCTGTTTAATAACAACTCCATAAAGGACTGTACATGCTATTTTGAGCTACCTCCCCTCCTTTACTGTGGTTGCTGCCACGTACAGGCATGGAGGTGTGTAGTGCCATATAGTTCTCTAAGTCTATATGTAATGTGTGCACGTGTATGCAGGTGGTTGCACATGGATGTATTTATATATAGCTTTGTAGAAGTGTTCATCTCGTAAGTCACATTATCAAAACATGCGAAGTATACCCAACAAAAATTTTCAGGCAAACATGTTTTGGAGCTGGAAGACCAAAGGCAAATCAGACTCATTTTAGTTATTAAGGACTAGTGTGGGACAATGTAAGGATGAAAGCTTTCAGCAGTGGGTCCCTTTCCCTTTTTGTTTTACTTCCATTCAGTACCTTCTCCCCAAACATCAATGCACCTCTGTGAAGACTAGCTGAAAAGGATACAGACAATCACCATGCAGCCTCCC